AACACTAGTAAACAACGAAATACAAACTGTTTTTCCGTTTGTTAACCGCACTCTTAACAGCAGGAAAACAGTCGTTTTCCTTGAGTTAACTGTGAAGGAAAACTGCCAGATAATGGAACGAATACTCCAATTCGCCGACTCGAAAACAACCAGAAAACGTTGGATTTTCTTTTCGGAAAATATCAGAAAATGCGTGAATAATGCCGCGTTTTCAATTCTTCACAACTTGTTTTCCGAACGGGTGAACACCACATTTTTTGCAGTGCACATGTCATGGGACTGCCTAGCTACCACAGTTTAAACGCAGTGCTTTAGTTAAAAAGAGGAACCGAGTCTGCGACAAATTCGTGCGACGGAAATAACAAGCACGTAATGTTTTCTCAAATTACGACCTGAACTTAAAAAAGAAATATATATATGTATGTTCACGTTCAAGTTATCCAAAACTGCACCACTTTTAGCCGCGTTCACATTTACGATATGGACGGAAAAGAACAAGATGTAAAACAAAGAAAACGAAAACCAGGGAAGCACTGTGTAGTGCCTTTTTGTCACAAAACAAATGCAGACGGATCAGCCTTCACCAGTTTCCTCAAACCCTGGATGCTGGTCAATACATCTGGCTTCTTTTTGCAACTGTTCCACTGTAACATCCTCCAAATTTTTATTTTTGACTACATCTAATTCCTGACAAAAGATGTTTTCTTTCTCCCTCCACATTGATTGGCAGTTTCCACACTGACACCTTGTAATAAAAAAAAAATCAGTAAAGTAGCAATTTTTTTTCACAATGTTGAATAGAAGATATAGAGAACAGTTCACCAAAAGGAACAGCTATCAGCTCTGTAACTGTCACAAACGTGAGAGCTAACTCAAACTTTAGGTTATAAACAAGGTGCAAAGACCACAAGTAAACAATAAGTTAATGTTAACGGGACGTTCAATTCTACATGTGCGAATGCTATTTTCCGCTGAATCGTGTTTTAAAGTAAAAGCCGAGAAATCTTTAATCGTTCGTCAAATTCAACACAGGAAAACTTAAAACCGATTCAATTGCATGGAAACATGTATAATTCATCCAATTCACCTCCACAAGCTTGTATGTTTATATTTTCAGTCAGGGAAATCTTAGCTTCAGAAGGTGCGTGCGTGTAACATAAAAACACTTCGCTCCCATGGTGTTTAAGAGTTTGCTCATTTGGTTTTCTTTACTTGATCACTCCTACTTTTAAAGCGACGGATTTTCAAATACTTTATTTACAAGCGTGAATGCACTCACCATTCCCACTTTCTTGATTGAGGCGGACGCGGCTCCTCTTCTGACTCTCGTGCTCAATTTAGATTCGTCCTGGTGGTTCAAATCGCTAAGGCCTGATTTCACCAACAGCTTCATAAACCCTTTCATTTTGTGCACCCACGTAACCCAGACCTTGGTTTTGATGATTTATGATCTGATGCTCGACGTCATCCAATAATGGCTTATTAGTTGCACGTGCTAAACGATAGAAGCCATTTACGCTTTCCTGAAAGAAAAGAAGTACTGTAAACAAAGGTTTTTTATGAACATTGAAAACGTACAACATTGATTATGTTACTGGGCGAAAATTTCCCATAAAGCCGTCGGTTCTCTTCGTTCATAGATCATGCTTTTTAGGTGTCAACGTTTTTAATCGAGTGTAAACTAAAACAATTATTTACCTCAACTTCATGGTGAAAGTGGTTCTACCGGCTATCTAAGGCTGGCATGAACCTTTGAAATTGTGATCCTAGCCCTTTGTGCGCTCCAAAGTTTAATTTGATTTCTTTTCCTTCAGATGTCCAACATATCATTGTGCGCACTGCTAGACCCGCTGCTGTTAAAGGTTTCAAAAAAGTGGAATGGACTGAAAATAAAGTTAGTTTAAAAGGTGAGCGTGATTTCTTCTTCGTTTTTCTTCTCTGCATTAATAAACATAATGCTTTGGTAAGCTCTTTTCTCTCCTTTTTCATATGCATACTCATTGTTTTTGAAAAGGATATGTAAATGGCCGTTTAGAGAATACTTCTATGGTTCGTAGTTTATTATAAACCTCATGTGAGCTTTACTTGATAAACAAGTTAATGGTGTTCTACCGCAATCTTAACTTGTCTTACGTAATTCATGTAGGGGGGTTTTCATTTGGCTTATACTATTTTGCGAAACGAAACGAAACGAAACGAGACCAGGTGAAATACAACAAAACTAAAGGAATAATGCTGATGTATTTTTTTTAATAAGGTGAAGATAAATTTCACAAGGATTTTGGAGTAACCGTTAATTATCAAGAAGGATTTTTATTTATTTCGCAAAGTAGTAATTAAAATAGAGTTACTATTTTGCGAAATCGACGGATAGTCTATTTCGCAAAATAGTCTCTCTCCTAAAATTACTATTTTGCGAAATTATTCATCGTGGTGAATAACAATAAAAGCTAAGTTTTTCGTTTGTCTTAAGATGTAGTCACGTATTTTTAATTCTTTGTGGACCCACAGCAGGTTATTGACATAAAGCCGATTCTAAAGATCCTGGGCGTTACGCTGGACAATAAACTTCCTTCAAAGATCACGTAACAACTACGCTAAAAAAGGCATATGCAAAAATCGCCGCTCTCCCCAGAATAAAGCATCTTATACCGCTGTCAATTCCTTTCACCCAGCTTTAAAATATACCTGGGAAATTTCCGACACTTTTTTGGCTTTCCTAGACATCAAAATTTCAATTGAAGGCAACGGTTTATGCACTAGTGTTTACTACAAACCTACAGATTCACATAGTTAATTGTTGTATAAATCTATCATTCTTAAAAATTTTAAACTACTCAAAAACAATTCAGAGACTGGCACTATCTTTTTGCAACCCCCACTTATTTCATTCAAACATGACAAAAACATGGGCGACTTTTTCGTCAGGAGTTCATTTCAAACCAATAACCAATCTGGAACTTTCAAATGCGCTCGCTCACGATGCAAAACTTTTTCTTTCATTCATAACCTAGAGAAAATATCGGGACCCAGGAGATCCATTAAGATCACTGATCACTTTACATGTACTGCCACCAATCTTATTTACTGCATAACTTGCACTTATTGCAATAAGTTATACATCAGCAAAACAGGAAAGTGATTAGGTGACCAATTACGAGGACACCTTCGCGATGTGGAAAGAAATGACAAGGACGCATCCAAACCAGTCGCTAGACACTTTAATCTTCCTAATAATTCTAAACAGCATATGGCAGTTTGCGGCCTATCCTTACATCTAGACAGTTCAGAAAGCCATGAAACACTAGAACAAAAAGTTATCTTCCAAATCGGCACCCTTAATCCCGGAATCCCGGAATCCCGGAATCAATGAGCGCTTTTCATTCAACTAATTTATTCCAGTTTTCTTGTCACCATATTCCCACCAATGGCGTAGCTCCACTTTCTGCATATAAAGCCACACACAACCCACAATTCCTTCGATCGCTCTGACGAAGGGCTAACGCTCGAAACGTCAGCTTTTTTTACCCTTTACGATGGCTAATTTACGTTTTTAACTCAGTTGTTAACACTAAATTACATGCTATACTCTCCCACCGATGCAGCACCACAGTTTCTTTAGAAACTTACCCCTTTATACAAAATAATTAGCCAGGGAAATGGAAAACTTGTGGCATATACACCATGTTTGAAATGCCATGTCCATAGTAAGCTAACAGGATTGAGGAGGATGTATGTGGGAATATGCCCTCTACTCTGTATCAATAATTTGCTAATCACTCCTGTTGTTTTGATGAGGTTGGGCTGTCTGGGAAATGGAACTGAGGATTTTAGTAGGCAGTGACTTTTTTCCAAACCTGGAAACTATCATCGTGAAAGCCATACTTGTGTCCAGTAACTCATTCTTATTCTGATCTAGTTTTAAGAAGGATACAATATTTTATAACAAAAACTTGATGCATAGGTTGTGCAAATACTTTAATTTGACTATAATTTTATAGCCAATACCAGTCCCTTCCCATGGTAAAAATGTTAGAAGGATCAGAGAAAAAAAAATGTGCCATACATTTGCAGGATTTGATATAGTTATTTTAAATTACATGAATATTAACTGATGCTAATATAACAAAAATAATAAAATTTGGTTGAAAAATTAGAATTCAGCCAGGCTGGATAAATAAAATTCTTAGAAAAAGAAATGTTTACTAATGAAAAAGCTAAGCAAGCTTTTTTTACAACACCTGCTTGTGCCTGTACAGCACATAGCAAAGTCTTTTAGAAGTAGTCATAATCCTAGTTTCATATGTTGAAAACATATGCACATGCAGATTTCTTGTAAACCTATAGTTTAAGCCTGTGATGACTTCGAAATTTTGATGTACACCTCAAAAGGAGAACAAATAAATTTCATGTTTCTAGTTATTCAGTTTAGGTTCCTGAGGTAAAATTCAGTCAAACATTCAAGATGTACAATGACAGGTTCAAGAAATTTTCACAACTAATTTTTAAGGTTAGCCTACCTGGAACAATCACCTTCATGTAAAAATTAGACCAGGTTTGTACTGATGATGCCCAACAGAACTATCCGTGCTAAGAGGGCAGGCTTTCCTTTCTTCGTTTAAAGAAATAATGATGTTATCATCTTTCCACAAGCTCAGTGGAAAGTGAGAGTGAATGAGACTGATAGTGACTGTGTTATTTGAATAAATATCCAGAGCCAGGATAAAAAGTCAGACATGGTTTGCACAACTTTCTTATTTTAATTTTTTAACCTATTAAACTAAAGCTTTATATTCTTGCTTTGTGATTATGCGGATGTCAATTACTGGCAATTTAACTTTCATGCACCAAAATCCGAAAAAATGCTCTCTTCATCTATGTGCCCTAAATATTACAGGGGAGGAGGCAGGTCAAATTAAAAACATGAATTAAAATAGGAGGGCTGTTATATCCGGGTATCCACGCATATTGCAGGCTTGGCTGCTAAGCCTAGGGACGTTTTGGATACGTTGGATCTGACTAATTTCGGTGTAAAAACTCTTCTTGTATATTGGAGTCTGTTCCGTTACAATTAAAGACTTTGCGACACTACAAATTGGCGACGAGGATAAAAGACAATCGGATAACAGGCCAAGATGAGTTTTGAAAGGTTTTCGTTGTCACCAGTTAATTTAGAGGCGACAAACTTGGCGGATGAGTGGAAGTTTTGGCTCGATGCTTTCGACAACTACCGAATTGCTACGAAATTAGATAAGGAAAGCGACGACGTTCAAAAAGCTACTCTTCTACATCTTGCGGGGACGGGAGTCCAGCGTTTGCTCTCAGGTTTGCCGGGAGAGAACAAGAAATTTGAGGAAGTTAAACAAGCGTTGAGTGCACATTTTCAGCCGAAGAGAAACAAGTGGGCAGAGAGGCACAAGTTTCGAAAACGTGCTCAACTTCAACATGAATCACTTGATACCTTCATTGCAGAGTTACGTATGCTGAGTCTAACATGCGACTTCGGGGAAGCAAATGATGATAATATTCTTGGTCAAGTTATAGAGAAGTGTTCTGACGGATATCTACGAGAAAAGCTACTACAACAAGGAGAGACTCTTACACTGGAAAAAGCCCAGACGCTCGGGAGAGCAATTGAATCTGCAAAGAAGGATACACAGCTACTTGGGGGTCACGGGGCCCAAAACGTTCCTGGAAAATCTGATGTTAATGCGGTAAGATTTTCAGTAAATAAAGCGAAAAAAAAAGCCTGCTTTCGCTGTGGAAAAACGGATCATCTTGCTAATAACGAAAGGTGCAAAGCTAGGAATGCACAGTGCATAAAATGTAAGAAGACTGGTCACTTTTGGAAATATTGCAGATCAAGAGAATCAGAGAATAAAGAAGATGTAAAGTTTGTCCAGCCAGTCCAGCATCAGTCAGATAAGTCTAACCCTGAATATGTTTTGTATACTACTAATAATGAGGGGCTGGGTGTTGAAACTGATGTTGAAATCAATGGTAAACTTGTTCAAATGATGATTGACACTGGCTGTGCTAAAACCTTGATCCCGAAACAGTGGTTTAGAAACAACCTGAACATTCCTCTTAACCCAACCAATGTCAAGTTCTCAGCTTTTGGTGGAGGAGACCTCAAGTGTTTAGGAGTATTTGATGCTAAACTGAGATGCAATAAGATGGAAGTAATGGAGCCAGTGTATGTGATCGATGTGGAAGGTCCCCCCCTGTTGGGAAGAAGCGCCCTGTCCACCCTCAACCTTGTAAAAATCCATGCAGTAGGGGAGAGCCCAACCAAGGCGAGGGAGAAGATCTACTACTCATTGGAAGCCGAGACCAAACTTGTAGTAGATGCCAGCCCAGTCAGTCTTGGGTGTGTCTTGCTGCAAAATGTTGACAGCCGTTGGCAGCCCATATCTTATGCGTCCAGAAGTCTAACTGCTGCAGAGAAGAGATATTCGCAGATCGAACGAGAGGCAATGGCTGTGCTGTTCGGATTGCAGAAGATGCATTCTTACATTTATGGTCGCCACGTTGTCGTCTCGACTGATCATAAACCACTACTTGGCGTATTCAATAAAAACACTCAATCAATTCGCCTGGAACGGATTGCTTTGAGATGTCAGGACTATGACTTCACACTCACTTATGAACCTGGATCTGAGAACATTGCAGATGGACTGTCAAGATTACCTTTGAACGCTACTGTTACAGAAACAAGTTTTGTTGAGGAGCATGTACACTTTGTCAAAAGTGCTGATGCTTTGCTCTCAATTGATGAAATAAAAGAGGCTGGAGAGTCTGACCCTGAATTACTAGAGGTGGTGAAGGTACTTGATGGAACCCAGAACCTGGTAAATAATAAATGGAAACATTTTAAAGATGAACTGAGCTTTGCACAGGGCCTACTGTGGCGAGGTCGACGAATTTATGTTCCTGAGAAGTTGAGAAAAAGGCATTGACCTTGGCACATGAGGCTCATCAAGGTATTGTGCGTTGCAAGCAACGCCTTCGTAGAATTCTGTTCTGGCCGGGGATGGACTCTGATGTTGAAGACTACTGCCGAAATTGCGAGACTTGTGTGCGCCTTCAGCCACTACGACGAGACACACCTAATACAGCAACTCCTCTTCCCGATTACTGCTGGGAGAAGTGTGCCCTTGACCTGGTGGGTCCATTTCCTGGAGAGATCTACATCATGACTGTTGTTGATTACAGAAGCAAGTGGCCCGAGGCTATTGTTCTTAAGCGTATTACAAGTGAGAGTATAGTCACTGCACTTGCAGATATATTTGCACGATTTGGAAATCCAAAAGTTCTGATCACGGACAATGGACGTCAGTTCGTAGCTGAGGAATTCCAAGACTTCATGAAGGCAAATGGAATACAGCACAGAAGAGTATCACCCTATTTTCCACAAGCAAATGGGCAGGTCGAAAGATTTCATAGGTACCTAAAGCACAGTATCAGAGCAGCAGAGTTAGATGGTCTATCCTGGACAGAGGTTCTGCCCACAATCCTGCAAGTTTACAGATCCACTCCACATGCCGGGACTAACATGACCCCGGCTAAACTGTTTCTCAACAGAGAGATAACAACAAAGTTGCCAACAGTACCAGAAATGGATCAGAACAACCCTGAAGAGAGGTACAAGGAATACCAGAGGAAGTTATGTGAGTATACTGATGCCAAGCGACATGCACAACAACATAACCTAGTACCTGGGGATATTGTATTTGTAGCAAATACAAAATCTGGAAAATTGATTCCCACGTTTGGTCATCAGAAGCATGTCATTGTTCGTAGCAAAGGACCAGATACTTTTGAACTTGTCAATGCTGAGACTGGACAACATCTCACTCGTAATGTGAAGTTTCTTAGTAGAGTTCCACGCATGGAGCTACCAGTTAATGATGACAATGACAACGGCTGCTTGGAGTCGGAAGAGTTCGCTGGGGCAGCGATGCCTCCTTTGGATCAACTCGGATCTACAGTCTCGGATGATAGGAATCCCGCAGATAGTGGTCCTCCCTACTCAGCAATGGAATTGAGACGTTCAACTCGAACACCAAAGCCAAAGAGAGATCCGGACTTTGTTTATGACTAGAACATTGTTTTAGTTCTTCTATGTTAAGTTGCGTTGTTAGAATGGACTTTGAACTTTAAATAGGTTAGGATGGGATGTTATATCCGGGTATCCACGCATATTGCAGGCTTGGCTGCTAAGCCTAGGGACGTTTTGGATACGTTGGATCTGACTAATTTCGGTGTAAAAACTCTTCTTGTATATTGGAGTCTGTTCCGTTACAATTAAAGACTTTGCGACACTACAAGGGCCCCCATTAATTTCAGTCCTACTTAAAGAAGGATCCTTATTTTTCCAGATTCCCACTCTTTTAAACTCACATATCTTGTAACCAATTCCTTATTTCAATGTTCGGTTTAGGTAGGACCATTGGTAAGAAACACCATGCATTAATGAAAGCTTGAGCTAGTATATTTAATGCAATCTAACTAATAATATTACATGTTACAGTATGGTACCTTATACAACAAAATTATATAATCACACAATTCCAAAGGAAGGAAGTCAGGTGATTGAATCACCTGCTTCAACTTTTGAAGGCTTAAGGTACAGAGAATAGATATGGTAAACAGTTACAATTAATACAAAGTTGAAAGTTTGAAAGCTAAGAGATATACATTACAGTCATCAGACCCTACGCATCCTAGCAAAAGAAGGGTCATTTACCACCATAACTCCTCCCAAATGTTCATGCTTACAGGAAATCATTTATTTTTGTCACCAGGTGGTACTGTATTTACAATAGTTCTACCGATACAAATGCATTTTTCTTAAGTTATCTCATAGCACATGACTGTACAGGTCATGTGAAAGGTTCCTGCATAGGGACTAATATTTCAATTACCTCAGGAAACTGTAATCATCAGAATTGAAAGCCAAGATGTATTTACTAAGTACTCAAGTTTCCAAACTAGTCATCTAATTCTTACAGTTGAGTTCAATCCTTTTTGAGGCTATCTTCAGCTTGATCATCCTGTTACATGTGAAAAAATGAAATGTTACTCACATATTCAAATAATTACCTGAATCAGGAGTTACAATTTTTTAATAACCTGCTTCCTTTAATTGTGCTCCAGGAACAGTAAGTGATATTGAAGAGAAAGGAAGAAAGTTCTTGAAACATTCTATGTTAAATGAAACTTTGTTATGAATGTTAATTGTGATTGCAACAAAAACATCTGTGAAGCTATACTGACAAATACCTTTCCAGGTAAACAAACCATAATGAAGCATGATATGAATAAATTTAGTCTCACCCAGTTTGAATTTAGAATCTAAAATCTGATTAACTAACTGGTGAATAGGAAAAGTTTAATGTGTTTTTCCTCCTTCTGTCATTCTAAATATCACAAATCAATCATGCCATCACCTCAGTGTGATTTTTTTAATGTGTACTTTTTCCTATTGATAGCTTTTTTTAGTATTTATCTTTTACCAGCTGACATCTGAGAAGAATGAGGTCCACACTGGCAATTTGACACATTGCAGGCAAACCTTACAACTCATTAACCATTTCACTACCATGAGTGACCGAGACAGAATTTCTCCCAACAATATCAATACAATATCAATCAGTTAAGTGATGAGAATAAAGAAAAATATAAATTTGGGGATAATTAGTTGATCCAATACTAAATTCTTAGAACTAACATTACAAGAATTGTATGGTTGACAGTAAGAGAATTACAAATTTGATCTGGGAGTTCAAAGGTTAAATTTTATTTGATCAAAAACATGAGCGGCAATAGAGGAAATTAGCTATTCTGTGGTGTTTTTCCTATCACATGATAAAGTTTACAGTTTCCCTCACTTCACTGTCTTCTGTTCACTTGTTTGTTTGCTTTCCTAACAATCTTAGCTATTATTGCCCACAAATGTGAGGAGCATATACATCAAAATGTGTACAGTAAATAACATTTTAATCCCTGAGAGTGACTAGCATCTAATTTCTCCTTTCAATATCACCCCTGAGTCACACATTAAGGTCATGTGAATAAAGGAAATGATAATCAACTGAAGAACCTATTGATTGTTAAACAAATTATCCTTGTCAGCACATTAGGAAATGCATAGAGAACAGTGTGACGAATATGCATTTTGATATTGGGGTGTAAAGGGTTAAAGACATCATGTAATCAGTTATATATATGTAGAGTACTGCTTGAATATATGATTGCTGTAAGTACAAGTGTAAAGTAAACATCATTCTGTGGTCTTCTACTCTTCCATTCTGGAGGCTGCCCTGTGTAAAAAAAAAAAACCTTTTTGAAGACACCTCTACAATGGTAGGTACACACAACTGACGTGTATGAGTGAAGCATGTCAAGTATTAGGGTATGATTGTCAATTTGCCTTTATTACTTGCAAACAGCTTATTTCTATCAGCTTTAAAAACTTCTGTATTCCCACTTTCAAAGAAAAGCATTTCCCATTAAAATTTAAGCATTAAAGACATAAGCTACCAGCAACAGGTTTTTCCATTGCAAGCATTTCATAGCATCAGATTCTCATCACATTTTTTTGTTACATTTGAAAGCATAAGAATATTTTAATCATTGCAACATGATGAAATCTCCCATTTTAACTCTTTAATTCCCATGAGTGGCCAAGACAGAATTTTTCCTTGCAAAATCAAAACAATATCAAGCAGACAAGCTATGAGAGTAAAAAAAATATCAGTTAGGGGATTATAAGATGATCCAATACTAAATCCTCCAAACTAACATCACAAGAACGGTATGGGAGAGAGTAAGGAGAATTACTAATGAGATCTTTGGAGTTAAAGGGTTAGCTCCTGCTAGTGACCTAGAGAGAATTTTTCCTTACATTATTAGTATGATATAAAGCAGACAAGTAACGAGAGTTAAGAAAAATATCAATTAGTTGGTTATTGGTTGATCCAATTCCAAATTCTCCAAACTAACATCACATAGATTTGAATGAAAGTGATCCTCGCAGTAATGTGCACTACTTAAGTAGTGCACATTACTGCGAGGATCACTTTCATTCACGTCTTTATCCGCAGTTCAAATATATGACTTTCATATATTCTTAACCGTTTATCACATAGATTGTATGGCAGACAGTAAGGAGGATTATTCATGAAATTTTGAGAGTTAAAGGGTTAAGCCACATATGGTAATCATGTGTACCAGAAAGACAGCAAATAAATGTAACATTATACTCCAGTAGAGTATTCTTATGTAGAATGAAGTTTCAAAATCATTGAATTTAAGTTGACTTCATAATTCGTATTTTGGTTAAAGAGATGTGTAATATCTCTTCACAAGGATGAAAAGGGAATGCCATTTATGAATTTTAAAATAGTAAATGCCAAAAACATATGGATGGAATTTAAAAAACTACTTAAATATGGCATATCTATTCAATGAGGTTCTAATCATTTAAGCTGTCCCACAGAGAAATAAAATAGGATTTGTGAAAAAAAACCAGGGCAATAAAATTAAAGATTCAGGAGAAGCATATGATTTTAATTTGTTTACTGATGTTCTCACCTGAATTCAATCTGGAATGAGAACTCTGCAAGACTTGTGTTTTATCTTGAATTAAAAAAATAGCGAAGCGAAAGTGGCTCCATGTTTTGTGAGACAAACCACTTCCACTTCCACATCACTGACTCAATCTCATTTTATTTCAATTTTGGAAAAGACCATTACTTCGTTCTAAGGGTAAAACAACGCATCTTTGGCAAAGCGCAAATTTTTCAAATGAATAGAGTAAATCCTGC